CATCTCACTCGATCTCCACAGCGATCCATTCTAGATTTCATAGTTCGTCGATCCTCGATAAGAGCATCGACTCACTTTTCTACTAGCATACATTTTACATCACTATTAGGACAGTCTCTCCCACAGGTTAGGATAAGAGCATCGACTCACTTTTCTACTAGCATACATTTTACATCACTATTAGGACAGTCTCTCCCACAGTAGTTACTATACCAGCCATGTGGGACTAAATATTTAGTAGGCAATGCTCGTGTTGGAGGACCATTGTATTTTGTAGTAACAGGAGGGTTACAAAAAGAACACCTTTTCCACCATATTCCAATCCCTCACAATTACCAAACAGTCACAAGGAGAGTGGCAAGACCAGGCACTCCAATCCTCTACAATGGTGGGGAAATAAAAAGAACCAATTTCCAACATTGACTGTTCTAGCAAGGAAGTAGTATCTTGCTGTTCAAGCAACATCTGCTCCTTCAGAAAGAATATTTAGTAGGGCRCAGAGGATCATCAGTGATCTAYGCACTAAGCTTGATCCTGATATTGCAGGGAGGACTTTGTATGTACTACTAGCTGAAAATTTGTATTGGTATGAGAAACAAATGGGCACATCTTTGAATSATTAAGTGAATAGCAACATCATAGTGGTGGTATGGGGGACTATCAAGTAATTATATTAATATTATACATTTTATTATGCAACGGCGTTGTGCAACGGTCAAGGATGTAAAAAAGGCGTTGTGGACCGTTGCATCGCAACGTTTTTCAAACACCGTTGCGTTGCGGACCCCTAACCACCGCACCGGTACAAGTGATGTGAATACGAGGTACGACTAAGTACGATACGTACTCGAAAGGCTTTTTCCTAGGTCACTTACAGGTATTATGACCCCTACCCTGTATTACGTAAGGTACGATATGGTAGGTACGTACCGGTACGTTGTAAACGAGGGCTGGTTTTAGGGAACACCGCACGGAATTCCTGGAGGTCTCGTTTCGCTCTTTGGGTCGAACGAGTCGAGGGCGGCAAGACCAAACAACCTTCGATAGGCTTCGATGATTTGCCTGCATTGCCATCTCCCCAACTTGGTATTCCTGAACAAAACACAAAACCAACAACTTACCGCTAGTTTTGATAGTTTTGATCGAGCGTTGTTTCGACCCGGATCGCAGTAGCAGTAGCAGTAGCAGTAGCAGTAGCATTAGCGGTAACAACACCACCACCACCAACAACAGCAACACCACCAACAACAGCAACAGCAACAACATGCAGGCCGACTGGGAAGTCTCGCGGCAGCTGGTTTCCGACGGCCGGGGCGTTCGCGTGGCGTGCATCCTCCCCCCCTCCAACCCGGGCGCGGACCGATACCGCATCCTGGCCGGGGACCAGGGGGGCGGCCTCTGCGAGTTCGGGATCCCCTCCGGGTCCCTCCGGCCCATCGGCTTTCGGCACGACCACGCCGTGACGGCCCTCCTGTCGTCCTGGGCGCCGTCGTGCACCGGCAGCGGCCGCGATCCCGTCTTTTACGCTAGCGGCTGCAAGGACAGCCACGTGCGGGTCTTTGACGCGGCGACACACGAACCCATTGCCACGCTCCGGGGCCACGAAAAGCCCGTCACCAGCATGGCCTTTGCCCGGCCGGGAAGCGGGGATGCGTCCGCGGGTTCGGATGCGAATGCGGATGCAAATCCGGACTCCCATTCGAATGCGAACCAGACTCCGTTCCTCGTCACCGGGTCCTGGGACGGGACCGCAAAGGTCTGGGACGTCCGGAGGCAGGCCCTCCTGGCAACGCTGCCGGGCCACGAGAACTCTACCTGCGTCGCGGGGCTGCCCCCCCTGGAGGACCAGTCGCGAAGCGTGGTGAGGATCGCCACCGGGTCCGCGGGGCTGGCCCGGAACAACCAGATCGAGGGACACACGGTCCGCATCTGGTCGGTGGACCTCCAGAAGGGAGAGGTTCGCTGCGTCCAATCGGTGGCCAACGACCACCACGGGCCGATCCGGGACATCGCCACCCTCGGAAGCATTGGTACCAATAACAGCAGCAGCAGCGGATGGATGGCCACGTGTTCCAACGACGGAAGCGTGAGGCTGCGTTCGAACACCACGGGGGACTCGGTGTCGATCCTGACCTTTCTGCACCAGCAGTCCTCACACCCACCGATGCTGCTCTCGGTGGGAACGATCCTGGATGACGAAAGCCGCACGACGGACATCGTGGCCTCTGCAGAAGACGGCCACGTGGTGGTCTGGAATTCCCCCGAGGAAGAGGCCGAAACGGGAGCTCTCTCGGTGTCGGAACCGCAAGTCGTGCTGCACCCGTCGTGCGTCTGGAGCGCTATGGGTCTTCCTGGTGGAGACTTTGCGACGTGCTGCCAGGACGGAACCCTCCGCATCTTCACCAGGACATCGGATCGAATGGCCCCCCGGGCGGAACGGGAGGCCTTTGCCCAAGCGGTCCAGGAGGCGCACGCGAAGAAGCAATCGGGACCCAGCCCGGAAGAAGTGGCGAAACTCCCCGCCTGGGAGGCCCGCCTGCAGAAACGGGGAACCTCCGAGGGACAGGTCCAGCTCTTCAACAAGGCCGGCGTCGCCATTGCCGCGCAGTGGAGCGCGTCCTCGCAGACGTGGATCGAGGTGGGCCAGGTCATGGGATCGTCCGACAGCGGGACCGTCGACGGGGTCCGATACGACCACGTCCTGCCCATCGAGGTGGACCAAACGGGCGGGGGGGTGGCCAAGCTACAGATCGGATACAACGACGGAGAGAACCAGTTTGTTGCGGCGCAGCGCTTCATCGACGCGCACATGCTACCGCAGCACCACCTCAACGAGATTGCCAACTACATCGAACAGCGCGCAAAAAGCGAGGGACGGACGCTGGGGGGACCACCGGCGGGTGCAACTTCCTCCGCACCGGCGGCGGCCGCCTCTGGGATGCCGATGGCAACCTACGAACACCTGCCGGCGCCGGCCTACAAGTCCTTTGAGCTGTCCGCCAAGTCGGCCGCCACGACGCTCGAAAAAATGAAGAAAAAGATTGCCGAGCACGGGGGTGTCTCCGAATCCCAGCTGGCGGCGATCTCGAGCCTCTCGGACACCCTGGCCGCCACCAACCGGTACCACTCGTCCAGGATCCAGCCCAGCGAGCTCGAAACCATTGCCCGCATGCTGGAAACCCTACCCCGCGCCGAGGTCTTTCCCGCCCTGGACCTGGCCCGCCTCGTCGTGGCCCACCCGAGCGCCTCTGGGCCGGCCAGCGCGGGATACTGGACCGCTGTGGTGGACAGGGCCCTCGCCCTGTGCACAGGGGACGACAACCTCGCGGGACCCGCGGCCGTGGCGATCCCCATGCTCTCGCTGAGGCTCTTTGCGAACGCCTTTCGCGGCGGACCGGGGTCCCTCGAGGCCGTCGGGGGCCGCCTTACCGACGTGTTGGCCTGCAGCCAGCGCTTTCTCGGATCGGCCAACAAAAACGTTCGGCTGTCCGCGGCCACCCTCCTCTACAACACAAGCTTTTACGTCTTTTCCAATCCGGACAACGCCCCACAAGGCGCCGCCCTCGCGGTCGTCTCGCAGGCCGGCACGGTCCTCCGGTTGGGGGCCTTCGAGAGGGAGGCCCTGGTCCGGACGCTGGTGGCGCTCGGGACGGTGGCCATGGCGAGCCCCGGGGCAAGGGAGGCAGCCCGGTCTGCCTCGCTTTCGAGCCTGGTGGAGCCTGCGGCGTCGCTGCACGGAGACCTTGCCAGGGCACTGGCCCGGGAGGTCTACAGCGTTCTGTCCTAACCATCGACACTGCGTTAGTCAGTTTAGTAGAGCCTTTTGTTTGGGTGGTCTAGATTGTTAGATGTTTTGGTACGAGAGCAGCGTGTAGAGTAGTCGTATCGAACGCGTGCATGCCCGCGTCGGGTGCGAGGCGGCGCCCTATTCGAACGAAAAGGTACGGAGGGACTCCACGCCGGGACAGTTGCGGACGGCGATTCTCCTGGATTCCTCACKGTCCCCCGGACCGAGGTTCTCCGCGGCCTTTAGGATCCGAAAGTAAGCCGCGTATTCCCCTTCGAGGGCCAGGCAGAGCTTTCTCCGCCCCTCCCCACTAATGTCCCGGGTGACCGGGAGGTCCATCCCCCCCGTACCCCGCTCGTCCGTGAGCTGGCCGCCCGGACCCCCCTGGTCCGTGGCAACCGGCCTTCCGAAGGCAGCGTTGACCCCTGACCAATCGTGCCACAGGGACTCCTGCCGGATCGCGTACCACTTACGGGGGGGGTCCTTCGGGAGCTTGGAATAGATGTTCCGGTAATCGAAAAACAGGTGCCGGTAAAACCTCACCCTGTGGTGGATCGCCTGGGGGACGGACGCGTGTCCGAACACCACCGGGGTTTGGTGGGAGCCAGCCGGGAAAACACAGAGCACGAGCGGGGGTGAGATGCGGGACCCAACGAAGGAGATCGATCGATCGATCGATCCGCGTTAGCGGTCTGTTTGATTCCTTTTTCGAAGATTCCAAACCGGGGGCAACTTACGGCGCAGGCCAGCTCGGAGCAATTCCCAGCGTCCACGACCGAGTGATCCCGCGGATAGTCGCAGTCGGTCGTGTTGCCCCGCTCCAGGAGCATCGCAAAGGCGTCGAGGGTGGGAAAGCACCGGTACGCCGTGGAACGGGACTGGACCTCCTTGACGGACTCCGATAGGTTGTGCACCGACAGGTAGTGTGCCACGTTTTCCGGGTGGTTGTACAGGAGCGCCGAGACGGTCCGCTCATAGGCGTCCCGGACCGAGAGGACGTAGCTCCCGTGGCGGGAGGCCGGGAGCCTCCAAAAGTCGGGGACGTGGTAGTAGCTCTCCACGAGCTCCGAGACCACCGTTTCGTTGGGGACCACCCGGCACGGCTTCGGGACGAACGAATGGCACCCGTTCCGGAGGAGCTTCGACAGGGTGGACCCCGCGGTCTTTCCGATGTGCACAAAACCAACCGAAGACGGGACCACCGCCGCCACCGGGCCGCGGGGTTTTGGCCGCTGCTGCTGCTGTTGTTGTTTGTGTTGGACGGCCAGGGGCATTCCGTTATGGTCGGGATCGTCCAAACCCGGGGACAAGTACAAAGAATCCAGTAGAAAATTAATGTAGAGCAGCAGGGCGATCCACGTGCAGACGATCAGTTTCGATCGCGTTTTCCTCCATCCCTTCCGTCGCCGTTCGGTGCTGCCTCGCATAGGACCCATCCCCGACAACCGATTGCACCACGATGACGACGGTAATGCAACGCGTCAGTGTCCACGGAGCCAAGAGCCATTCGGCCGATGGTTCGTATCCACCAAGAAGCGTCCCACGGAAGCTCAAATCGCTGTCCCCGTTGCAGTAAATGCTCGAGTTGACTGTGGATTGATGCTAGCAGTGCCGGACAAGTACGAGTACACAAAGAAAATGGAACTATTATTGCAACCGTGCAGGATCTAATAAAATGTACGTAGCTCCACCAAGCCTACGCACGCGACCGTACCATACGGTACGGTATGGCGGAGGAGCACCAGTACGAGTAGTTTATCGTACGGTACGGTATCAGGGTGATCGACGATCGACGAGAAGTATGGTGTACGAGTACGAGTACTGCACATTACACGCCTGCAGTATCATCATACTGTTCTTTACCGTACGGTACGGTTTTCTGTTTTCTCTTTCCTTGGACGATGAGTGTGATGTTTGCGCTGTCATCACCAAAGTCATCGCCACAAAAAATCTTGTTGATGGATCATTCAATCGTCACGTCTTCCAGAAGCCATACGTTGCTAACGACGAAGAAGATTGTGATAAAGTGCGATCGATATTGTATTGCCCGCATTATAGTACGTGAACCACAGCCGCCATACATTGCCGACGACGACACGAGCAGGCGGTTTGGAAAGTCTGTAGCTTCCACGCGAGAAACAAACAGACAAAGATCTGGCGTGTCAGCAATTCGATTTGATTGCTTCAATCATTTGGTGGAAAGATTGATTTTTTTTCGACGACACAATTTAGTTCGCCTTAACTCGTGGATCGATTTCGTGGTTTCAGATAGATTGTCTGCAAAACGATAATGGGAACTATATTTTTCCGAAACCACACGCATATGAACAGATCCCGATCCATTCTTCCATCATCATCATCATTTTACACCTTCGAAACAATCTCTGTGCTGGACCGAATCATGCCCAAGAACAAGTCTAGACAACAAAGGGTATTCTCAAGTGATAGCAGCAATATAAGCTGCGCGTCGGAAAAGATTCAAAAACGCCAAAAACGACGGGCATCATCGCCGGCCCTTCTTCACAACACTACTTGCACTCGCAAGATGTTCTGCATGGCTGCCGCGACAGTATTGGCTACTTCCACAACGTCAATGACAATCACCGAAGCATGGGCTTTCAATGGCATCGCAAACAACAACCGAAATAAGCCGGCTTTGCTGTACAGTCATTCAAATCCAAATCCTCTTCGTTGTGGACCATCGGCCTCTTTGTATCTTGCAACAAGAAAAGGAACGAGTCCACTTAGCAAAACTTCAACTCGTTTGTATTCCTCGTTTCGAACGCGAAAACGATTCCAAAAAGAAAAAGAACACGAAGACGCACGCAAAGAAATCTTTGGGTTTCGAAGGGCTTTGAGGGGCGTTGCCAGAAAGATTCTGCCCACCAAGTGGTTCGGAACCGCAAAAGAAAAGGAGGCTCTGGAAAGAAAGCAACAAGTCAAAAATCGTGTTCAGAGCGAGCTGGACCAGATGCTGAAGGGTGCCCCACTTCCCTTTCGCATGCTGGGCAAACTCGTTGCCGCACCTCTCATGAGCAAGGTCGCCTCGACGGTCGCCGAGGCTAGCTACCAGCAAGCGGAAACCATGGAAGCCATCCTGGACGAGACCCGTTCGTACCTCATAAACGATCCCACTACAGTGGATCTCATAGGGACGCCAATCCAAATAGGCCAACCCCATTCGCAGAGAAGTGGTACGACAATCATCAACGGCAAGAGACAGATGCGAATGGAATTCACGACGGAGATTTCCGGTCCCAAGGGCAGCGCTATAAGCCGAGTGAGTGCCACAAACGAGGGGATCGGTCAGCTCCTGGTCGAGGGGAATAGCAGGGTCTACCAGGTGGATATATCGTCGAAGGCGAAGTCGTCGAGCCGGTTTGGAAGGTCTTCCTCCTCCTCGCCTCCTCGGAGCAACGGAGGCAATTCATCTTTTGGAGGTACCAAGGGGAACACCGACGACGATAACATCATCGAGGCGGAAATCATTGAAAAGAAGACGAACCGATAATTCAACGGATGGATGAATGAAACCTTCGATCCAAACCCGACATGAAATATTTCTTTGCATGGTGCCATACTTCTGTACCGCAGGAACAATGAACAGCAAATGATAAAAATATGAAAGACACGAATTGCTTTAAAACATACTCTTACCATACTTTAGTGTATGGCCCCTGACTGTATGTAAGCTCTGTGCCATAGATGATCCGACGGAGACTGGAATGTTCCGGTTTGCATTATTTAATGGAAAATACCGTTGAAAATGAAAGATCGGGAACAAAATTTACAATTTGCAAGCAATTATGAATTTATCCCATCGTTTACGAAACAGCAGCAGAGGGAGTAAATTTGTACGGTTATTAGATAGAAATAGAGTTTCGGACTGAAGGTTTGCACTGAAGCTTCCATCGATTGTCCATTGACACGTGTTCGATTCGCCCTTTACTTCAACAAGCAATCCCACAGGCAGGATTGGTTCCTCCGAAACCATCTTCCAGATGAATGAATTATCATATTTGTCTCCTCCAATTATTCGATCGATAAAAATATCAGGTCAAGATGAATCGTTAAGAGATGAAAAAAATTTCAAGTCCTCGTTACTTGTTTTTGTTTTCGGTGCTCCTGTTGCCATTCCGCACAGTGTTTATACCTTCGTTACCCCAGGCAAGGTTCCTCTCCTCATGAGGGTTGTGATTATTAGAGCTTGGAGGAGAGCTCATATTTCAATGAATAGAGAATAAGATAGAGAACACTTTATTTGCCTCAACATCCTGTCTCAACATTCTTCAAAGAACAATTCAGTTGTAAGGGTTGTGTTATAGACAGTAGGCGAGACCTTGAAATATCCACAAGAATAGAAAAGTACAAGCGAATAACAAAGACTGGAAATTTCAAGATGGTGGAGAAGTTATCTTCCATTAAGATGGAAGTCCCATTGCTGAAGACCAATAGGTTGAAGGACTTCATGAAATGTTGGCTTCATTTGCCTCAACATCCTGTCTAAATATTCAACCGTCTCAACATCCCTATTGCTCTTGAATCTGGCCTTGATCACATAGGTGACAAATGACGAATCAAAACCTGTAAAATGTGAGTTTTTCCTAATGGATTGGATGAAAGTGATGGAGCCAATCCATCCCCAAAGCATGAAAACCTTCAATGACTTTTCGAAGCAATGGTATCATCCGCCTCATTCGCATATCTTGCTGCCGTTACTTTTGTGTGCAGTTCTGCAAAAACATTTCCTTTTGTGTTTGTTTCTTCTCTTGGTTGTTGTGGTCTTCGGTAATGGTAATAGGAAACCAATTGTCAGAAAATGCACCTGCTTTAACGGCCTCGGTATGGGATCTTTTGCAAAGAGACTATGCCCTTCCGCGGGCAGCTTTGAATTCTCACTTTCTTCTAGCGTTGCCAGGGTTCATGTGATTGATTACAAGCAAGGCCTTTTTCATGGGAGGTGGGGTGCCAATCTTTGCACTCGCAATGAGTGCCTTGACTCTGATGATTACTATTGTAATTGAAGCGGTACCAATTGGAGGATGAAAGGAGATTCAAATTCGGTGGTAGCGTCATTGGGCTTGTATTTGCTCACCGTTCAATGCTGTTTCAACGTTCAAAGGCATCGTTTAGACCATTGGAATGTGTCGTTGCTGGCCTATTTCTAGTTTCGTTCTCGAGATAGACCAAATCCATTTGGAACTAGATTGAAAATCAATAACACACATGCCTACCATGTGCTGCAACCCTTATGGACACGAAAGTATGTCTTGCACACTAGTATGATTTTGCAAATGCATCTCGAAACGACCTCTACCAAGCTAGATCTATCTAAAACCATAGCAAGCGCAGCATTCCAACAATTTTAGAGCACGATAACCATATATATATGAGTTATTAATTACATTCAGTTTCTTTGTTTCTCAGCAAGACAGTGTGGTGTGTGCGTCGTATCAAGCATGTCAGATGAAATCACTTTTTAATGTTTCCAATGATTGACCATCCGAACTAAGTTCTCAAAAGAATTTTACCGCTTGTCTTCGACGATGCGTCGTGGACCTTCGTTAGTGTCTCAAGAACTACATCCATTGTCGGTCGGTTCGAGATGGTCTCGGACCATCCCCGTCGCATAAGTCTGCGGATTGCTGTTGGCCATGATTTTGGAACCGACGGGCGTTCGCCAAAAAGAGACACGGTCTCTTTCACCTGTGGTCCCAAAAGTCCATCATAGGGCTTTGTAAGCGCCATAATCTCCCACAGCAAAATTGAGTATGAAAAGACATCAGCTTTGAGATTGTAGGTTTCTTTGCGAATCACTTCTACAGCCATATATCTCGAGGTCCCGGTATTGCCGGCGAGTTTGAATGTTGCTTCTGGGTCCTCGTGGTAAGGAATCTCTACTGCGAGTCCAAAATCGAATATTTTAAGCGTGCCTTGTTTATCAAATCCGACATTTGCTGGTTTGAGATCCCGAAATAGAATACGTCGTTCATGTAAATAAGCCACAGCTGATGCTATGTCGATTGCCGCCTTGAGTCTCACATTTAACAACTTATTCTTCGCCGCCTGACGGCCTTTTGTAAGAGTTTTCCGGACCTTTTCCTCCTCTCTCCAACCGGAAATTCGTTTTGAAAGAGTTATGCTTAAACGTTCAAGGATCAAAAAGAAACCATCTGCGCGTCCAGCGGCAGAAAATCCTGGAATCCCAGCAGCTGACCATCCTTTAAGCTTAATGATATGTTCGTGATCGAATGCAGAGAGGAAATGCGCCTCCATAACAAGATCCTTTGCGCCAACGACAAGCTTCTTTGGATTGAGTGCAAGCTTTGGATTCAAATGTTTGATTACAAATTTTTTGATGCCCTCCTCTGGTTTTTCTGTCAGTTCTGATTCTACGTTGAAATGAGTTATAGCATACACGTTGGAAAATCCTCCGAAGGCAATTAAGTTTCCCAAGACGAAATCATCCCTTTCAAATCTTGGAATGTGATTTAATGTGCAATTTTTCCGTACGTACTCGCTTGATGCGATAACCTGGGATACCCTGGCTTCAGTCCTTTTAACCAGCCGTTGCGCCAAGCTAGGCGCAAGTGCGAAGTCGGTCTCGCTCTTGCTATTACTGCTGACACTCCCTAACGTATCGATTGTAACATTTGTGTCTCTGTCACAGCTGCTCCTGTGTACTTCGTATGAGGGGTTACGACTGATGCGGCGGCGGCGGGGTCCAATGTTGCCTACAGAATCGTCTGAAGAAGCCATCACTTGCATTTATCAATAATTGTGTGTTGTACGAAAAACCTTCGTTGTTGGTTGAAGTTCCTAATTTGAAATCCTCGTTCGACTTAGTTTAGGAAGAGTTCGAAGTTGATAGTACTCGTATAGCCAACTTCACTCAATCGAGCAATTGTGCACAGAACGAGCAAGTTGGAAAGCTTCGGAAGGAGAGGATGATGGGTGTCAAGTATTATCCATACGTTTTCGAATGATGATAACCTTATTAATGAAGTTATACGTGCTTGAATGGCTCAATGCTCGATCGTAAACACCGCCTTCGACACTGAACCAGTATTTTGCAGGTATTCAGTAAATTTTGATCGACGGCAGCAGGTAGAGCAGATGTATGCGCGTATGTGATGTGAGTTGAAAAGCGATTTCTATGGTGATGTCACGAGAAAAACATATTATCTGTTCTAAGGTTCTCAAAGAAGTTAACACCAGATGCAAATGTTGCCCAAAATTGCTCTTTCCGTTCATGAAAGGGGTTAGTTGCATGTGCGATCCCAAATTCAAGAGAGACACGAAAATCGTCCAATGAAGTGGATGGTGCTTAAAAATCCGCGAGTACAGAGAACAACGAATCGATATTTAGTAGCGATGTCCTAAATTCGGTCATTAAAAATCTCTTGTTCTTCAGGCACAATCAATAGAAGTACGTACTTCCTGTTAGAAGTACAATTGAAGATAGATGGACAGACGGTTGCGAAATGAGAAAGTGCTCTGTAGTCGTACATACTTGTACCGTACCGTGCAGAACGTGGCAGCCGCAGGGGTCATATCTATATTTATGACCTCTCCGCTATATCTACCGTACGCCCCCTGAAATATTTTACAGAGGCGGGTCGCCGACATTCTGTGATGTCACCAAAAAAGGCCGCGAAGGGGAAAAAAATCCGTTTTCGTATGAAGTACTGTACGTACCTCATGAGGAGGTACGTACTACTGTGCCGTAAGATACCGTACGTAGTTATTCAAATTCTGTGGTCTAATATTATTTTATTCGTTGTACGATGCCATACCTGATTAATGCAAGAAAATCAACAACGGCAAAAGCAAGGCATATGAAACATTCCAATGAGAACTGTGGATTGTTTATCTAGGCGGAAGAAAACTTGATTTCATTTACAATAGCTTAATACAGCACCTCCGATTACAATAAATCTCCAAGCTCTTTGAGCAATTCTTCTTCTCTTTCGACCATCTCCACGTAGTCATCATCTTCGATGTGATCGTATCCAACCAAATGAAGCATTCCGTGCACCAAGAGCATTCTGATTCTTTTCTCGGGATCATCAATGTTAGCCATTGCCCCAGACACTCCACGATCATCGTCGTCAATAAGATCACTATCATCATCCCCATATTCTGATTTTTTTTCGTCGTTCGTAGCACCCTCCGCTTGTTCCTTTCGAAAGAGAATGTCTTCTTTGCATCGTCGGATAACGTAGGGGACGCAAACAACCATGTCGCCAAGGGTATAATAGTCAGGTATATCGAATTCGGGCTCTTTCAACAGGCCAGCTTTGTTGTCCTCGCGAGAATGAAAGGGAAATGATAAAATGTCAGTAGGAGAGTTGATGCCCCGTGTTTCAAGATTCGTTTCTCTCATCTCGTCATCATCGACCAAGAGCAACGTTACATCGTATGTTTCGTAGCCTATTATCTTCGAAATTCGGTGCACAGTCCTTTGGAGGGCGTCCTCGTCGATTTCTTTGAGTGCCTCCTGGTCGTTGTAAATCGATACAGTTCCTAGTGGATTTCCGGGGACCCCCTTTTTGCTGCCAAAAAGTCTAGTGGGAGTCATCGCATAACTACGCATTGAGCATGCCCCCGTGCTGGCCAACAATCGTGATTTGATTTGCTGTCCTGACATCGCTTCGTCAAAGATTTGTCGTCCCAGCAAGTCACTTTTAAGGATCATACCCCTATTGAGCAATCGAAGAGACCGAAATGACTGGCACATATTGTTCAAGCCCACCAATGCAATCAAAAATGCTAATGCGAGATAGATTCGACGGGAATCCCGGAGAGAATGGTATTGGTGGAGGGAGGACCGACGCCGCCGATTGTGAGAAGAAATGTTCATGTAGACACGGATGAATCAGTCAATGGTGCAAAATCATCCGCAGCCAATTTCTGAAATCTATAACGACCTTCATGAGATCCTCGTGAGAGCCTGCTTTCAAACGAATTGATGAGAAAGGTGTGCTAGAGGTTTTTTTTGACGTAATGATGTTGTTGGTAAACAGACAACAGGACTTCCTTGCGGTGCGATGTTTCAAGATTTTTTGAGTTCGTGTCACGAAAAACTGATGGGTTGGAATGCTCGTCTGGGGGACAGACGATTCTTTGAACAGGATAACGCCGAATAGCACGACTACCAGTATGAACGCAAATGAGGTGGTGACAGGTCCGGAATCAGTACAAATTGTACACAGCTCTACGGAGAGAACAATACACCTCATTTGCGTTCCCAACTTGAACCTGTCACACCTTCCAAAGAAAAACTATTTCTGTCGAAGGTTCCGAGCTGTTTTTTTTTCTCACTTTTTGAGAATTCGAATCGGTGAAATGAAATCGACATCCGGACACTGCTTATTAACATGGAATAAAATCGAAATCAAAATCAATTCCAAGAACAGATTTCTCTTAACATAAAATAAATAAATTGCTTACTACTGGAGCGCTCTCTAAGGCGCTAACTACTGGAGCGCTAAGGCGCTAACTACTGGGCTTCACTCTTATTTTGATTCGTCGTCGTCGCTCCGAGCTTTTTTCCTCTCAGAATTCACGTCGGCGAAACGAAATCGACATCCGGACACTGCTTATTTGCATGCAATAAAATCGAAATCGGAATCGATTCCAAGAACAGATTTCTCTTAACATAAATCACTTACTACTACTGCTGGAAGCTCCTCTTACACTTCTGCAATTTCACCAACAACCATCTCCTTCAGTCCTTCAAGCACATTCAAGGGCATATTGCAAGCAGCCCTCTCTTCTTCAGTCATGCTTGCAATGTAGTTCAGGGATTCTTTTTGGAGCMTTGCTCTCTCTTTTCCTAGAGCAGTATCCCTGATTGTAATCTCATCTTCTTTCAGTCTTTCAGTTGGGTCTCATCTTCATCACTCCAAACAAATTCTGGAGGGAAATAAATATCCTTCACTTGCAACCAAAGATCAACCAATTCTTGTTTCTTTGCAGGAACCTTCTTTTGTTGCTTCCACTTGCACAATAACTTGAGTGTAGAGACTGGTAGGGACTTCACATCCTCCTCATTGTGAACATTCTTCCCCTTGACGGCATACTCTTCCATCAAACTGCTAACCTTCGCATTGAACTCTGAGACTGTTTTTGCTTTTTTCTTCAGTGACTCAAGCCCTTTGATATGCTCTTGCCTTTGCTTCCTCTCTTCAGCAATGAAATAATCTTTGGTGTTGAGTGTGTCTCCTCCTGTAATAATAAACTGTTGACTGGAATATTTTGCTGACGCCAAWGCATCCTGGCGTGCTCTGGAGTTCGGCACAGTCACTGTCTCCATCAGCTCCTTCTTTTTTCGTGGTGCAAACTTTTGGAATACATTACYGTTGAAACCAGCATCATTCAACAACTTTACCGCTTTTGCATTCTTCTCTTCATTCTCAACCAACGCAATAGTATCAGGATCAGCGGTCAAGTCAATAGTGCCATCTTCCAGTACTATYAACTCATGCGCAACTTTACTGTCTCTCAGACAGCGTCTTGTGAACGGTGAAATTCCAATTTTGGCCCAGACCGCTTTGGAATTTGCAACTGAAAATGCTTTGTCGAASGCAGGTTCCAAAACAACTTCTTCGTTGGATGTGAYGYGATTGCCAAAAACAAGCAAGGGAAAATCGTTCTGCCTCACGTTGTCTTTACGTTCTCTCCGGAAACGAACTAGAGACTCCAAATTCCGACGATACATCGACTTGAACGGACCATAATTCTGATCGGTGGGCTGGGTGACATGYGTAGTATTAGGGACACCAGCATGCAAATAGAACCCACGCGCCTTGAGCTTCGCCAATAAGCTGAGGTCCTTTCGCCCAGGCCCGCTGTCCACCATGATGAGAACTCTTTTCCGAGGCAAATTGGCGGCGTCTGGAAATAGTTTTACAATCGAATCCATCATGAACTGATGAAATTCCTTCGCATCCATCCCAGCTGTGGCATTACAGTTAACAGTGATACCGTTTGCTGTCAATTTATTATCACCGTACACACCTTCAATGTAGGGGACGCCTTCAACGAAAGCATCTTGGATCTTTTTGTCCTCGTCTTCGGCCTTTGTTTTCAGTTGAAAATGTGGGGGGAGGGGAAAACCTGCAGCGGTGCTTCCTGCAATAAAAGTCACTCGTACACTACTCTTGTTCGTTCTATCTGCGCCTGATGCGATTGCAGGATACGAAGAGCGGTATCTTGTAGAGGAACGGCCCCCAATCAAAGAATGATTTCCGTCCAGCGTCAATCCACTTTCGTCTAGGTTTAAAATCCGATTTAGTTGACCCTCAAAAAAGACGAGCTCTCCTTCAACCTCACHGTCGTTTGCCGTCGTTTCTCTGGCCCATCCTCCAGAAATCAACCTACTCTTTAGTGTGTTGAACCATAAGTTGATATTGTTATAGGTAGTCCACTTAGCTCTCCTATCTTCAACTTTAGACGAACTAGTAACAATTCTGACGTGAGGTGCGAACAAAATCGACAGGCGTTTGTAAAGTCTTGAATAATTCTTTAGTACAGTTGGTCCTCCTTGAAGACAGGATACTAACATCTGTGTCACTGTTTTCTGATTCGGTTGTTCTGTCATCTCAGCACAACCAAGGTTTATGTACAAGGAAATGGCGTCAACCAGAGCGGCCTCCACCACCGCAGGCAAAGTGGAGGGACGTCCCGAATGCCAACGTGGGGGAACATTTTCCAGCCCTAAACACAGACGTCGCCGAACCGTTTCTGCACTGAGTTCAACATTATAAAGCTTGTTGACTTGAGCAACMATAGCTGATACGTTCGTCACATTGCCCAGGGCACGTTCCTGTTTGATTTTTTTAGCAACGGAAAGGTAAGCGGTATTTTTTAGTTTATTTTCATTGTGCTTCCCAAGCTTCTCCGCATGAAGATACTGAGCCGTCCTAGGAGGCTTATGCTTCTTCTTTGCGGAACCGTTGGTGTGATCAGAACCATCGCCAACAGTACTGGTTGCATTCGTGTTGTCACCGTCTTTATCACCGTCCTTGCTATTACTGCTGGAACTCCTGGAGGTACCAGCAGGAGGAGCAGCACAGGTACTGACCCCAACACTTCCAGTGAGGCCAGATAGGKGATCTGGTGGTAAAGCATATTCAATGGTTGATAAGGGGACACCAGCAACTGCTTTTTCAAGCTCCAGCTTATCCCTGTACCTCATAACTCTTCTGCGAAGAGCTTTGCTTTGACATTCTGATTCACTGAACTTGGCAAATAGCATTGCACTCTTGGTAGTGCAATCCTCACCTTCTTCCTTAGCCATAACCAAGGCCCTTGCCGCGATTCGTGTACGCCTGCATACTGCAACAACATGTCCATTTGGTACAGCACCAACAGGAATAGTTGCTGTTGTTTGCTGGTGGCGATCTTCCTGCTGCTTTTTCTTTMTGCTGGTGGTGCTTGCACTAGTAGTACCCCCACCAATGAACCCCATCCTCTCCAATGTCCTTGCCATCGATTYKCGTAGTSCTAGTGCTGGTGCGGCGGATTCCTGTAGCGTTCCTTCCCTTCCTTCCCCTCCAGGGGCCTGCTTGGTGKTGTTATTGCTCATTTCAGAGCCAAAAAACACTCAAAATACAGCAAAAACTGCTTTTTCTTTCAAAATAACTGGTCGATTGCAACGATACTTCGGGATCAAGTCGCCTTTGATGTATTAAGGACGTCCGACACACTGGTTGTCTTTGTTAAGGGGGGGAAGGTGGATTCGTTTTAGTTACACTGTGGAGTTCGTCGTTGCGATTTTTCGTATTTTTCTTTGATATTTTAGCTGTAGCTTAGGACTCCTGTTTCTTGTAAACCACTCGGTCGATCGCGACGATACTTACAGATCCCCTTCCCCTTGTTATAATGAAGTTATTCCGGTGGGTGTGTGGRCAGGAGAGTGTTGTTTAGTGCTCAGTCTAATGGGGGTGACAGGTCCTATGATGAGGTTGATTAAATGAGAGTTTTTCGGTTTTTCGGTGCGCAGAGAAATCAACAAGCCCGAAAACGTTCTCTACAAAATTCACATAGCAATGTGCACATCGTTGTGAAGAGAAAGGAAAACTCTTTCCGACTAATGGATTCTCTAAATCTGATTGGTGCTTTGGTAGCACTAACAAGCAAGCAAAGTTAAGAGCTCACAGCTAAAAACTGGCGCGTCTTATTGTACTCATAACCTATTACGCATTTTGTCCACACATTTGCGTTCATACTGGTGGTACGTACCGGTAGTATGACTACTCAATTGCTGGGACGTTCTGAAACAGCAAATTTCCACGTACGCTTAGATACTGGATCCCCGACTAGTTCGACTGCAGTAGATTGTTGCTGCAAGGAGCACGCCTGCAGGATGCACACAAAGACAGTACCGTATGGCACGTGTTTGTACACAACGGCTCTATTGAAAAAATAGGGGGTCCCGGGAAACAATTTTTATCTAGGTCAAATTTATCTGGCTTTTTCCTGGTAGATTTAAGGTAAAAACATGGTCGGTTTAAGGTAGAAACATAGTCAATTTAAGGTAGAAACATAGTTGACATGTGGTAGCCCTACTACCAGCACATGCCATCTGTGTTAATTCTACATAGTAGGGGATCTGGGAAGGCTACCAAAAATCAACATTAAATCAGATATCAATTAGATTTAAATCTGATTTGTATTCCTTTTGTGGTCGATTTGATGTAGTCGAATTCAGGTAGCAAAAAAATCAAAATTTTAATAAATAGTTTCTCCCAACCCCCTTACTCATCCTCAGAGTACCGACTGGTACATGTGTATCAAAGTACTCTTCTGTTTGTGTCCTGCAGGCGTGCTCCTTCTTCTTGCAGCAACAATCTACTGTAGTTGAAGTAGTCGGGGATCCAGTAGCTAAGAGTATGTGGAAATTAGCTGTTTCAGAACGTCCCTGATGTCATCAGTTCCGAAATTATTACTGTAAATCAAATTTGAGTTCATTCCTTGAC